ATCACATCCACAGCCGCTCTGCCAGCCCTGGTAGGTTTAGGGACCTCCCCAGAGTAGGCCTGGTACAGGCTAGGACCTCCTAACACCCTGGAGGCTATAGGGACATGAGGGTGGATCTGCAAAAGCACCCCTGGCATCGCGCATCTGGAGATGAGGAGTTGGAGAGTCCAGAAAACCAAAGTCCTCAGAAACAGGTCCCTCTCTGGCCTGGGGCTCTGCCAGCCAAATCCATCCCCTGACAGAGGCTGCCTTCTTTTCTCACCTTCTTTGGGGGGACCAGGAGATAGCTCTGTAGTGATGGCTGTGGGAGACGCTGGTGGGGAGGTGAAGCATTGTGGGACACTGTCCACTTTCCCAACATGCTCCAGGGCCCATCGTAGCCCTTGGCGGGTTTGGAAGAGGAGGGGAGGGAGGGCTGGTGCCGAGAGTGGGAGCCAGGCCCATCGAGGTCCCAGGAGTGAATGCCTCATTGTTGGCCAGGCCAGAGTCACAGATAATTACCTCAATTAGTGACAATGGGAGAGTAATAAATACAGGCTTAGTGTCTCCTACCCCACCAGGGCTCCGAAGATTAATCCAGGCTGACGGGCGGGCCCTGAAAGGCGTGATGGACAATTCATTAAACTCCCCAAATGCCGCACAACCTGGGCGTGAAGGCTGAGTTAGCCCCCTGGGGGCTGTGCCTTTGTCCCGATTGTGTGTCTCCGCCACAGCAGAGCCGGGCAGCCCCCAGAGAGCGGGGAGGTGAGTGGGGCTCCCCAAGCCGGGCCAGGCGGCGGGAGGATTAGGCCTCGGTCCGGCCCTGGTTGCCCTGGCACACTGGCCCGGCCTGGCTGGAATGTCCTTGGGGGGGAGCTGGTCGAGCATAGGGGCGGGGCCGACAAGGTGGGGTAAGGGGGGCACACAAAACCAGGGGCAGGAGGAGTTAATTAGACGCCAGCCGAGGAGGGCGAGGGGCCACAATAGGGCTGAGGGGCCGCCAGGGATGGCCCCTTAACTTCCGAGGATTAATAGGGAGGAGGGAAAAGGGAGGGGTTAGGCCCTGGGGGAGGAGAGCTGGGAGCTTCCTAGGGTGGAAGTGCCCCCTCTTGCCCCAGCTTGGCACCTACTTGGCAAGTGGCTGGGAGGCGGGAGGCTCCGGCAGCCTGGACAGGTACCCTCAGCATCCCAGAAATGGCTCTTTCTTCATCACATGGCACCTACTTAGGGAGGATGATTGCGCAGGAAGGGGAGAAAGGACCCCCTCATTTACAAGGGAAGTAGTGGAAGCAGAAGTGTTTGGGGGCCCTGTTCTCTGTCACCCCCCGGCCCCATGCCCCGTAACCTATTCTGAGGCACAACTAGGAGCCTGAAGCTTTGCTTTCCTGATGAGGCTGCCAGGTTGAAGCCAGGAAGTCCTTAGTGGGGGCTGGAGGTGATGTGAGCACATGAAGTAGGGGTGGCTGTGTGTGCTTGCACCTGTGTATGCACAGGTGTGCCTGTGCACAGGGTCTGGCATTCATTTGGCTTTCAGTTAATGCTTGTCGAATGAATGAATGAACTTCCGTTTTGCTGAGAGTAAATGCATGTGAAGAAGAGAAGTAGCATCCGGCTGCGCCATGACACAGAGTGCTTTGGGCCCTTTCATTCTGAGCTTTCAGCCAGGGCCCAGGGAGGGTAGGCACCCCATCTCTGAAGAGATAAGCAAACGTTCAGAGAAAATGGTGTGGCAGTGGTTCCTTCACCTTGAAAAGGTGGAAAAATATGGTAGCCTTTAGGAAGCCCCACTTCCTCCTGGGCCTCAGGGAACGGGGCAGCCCTGGCTCCTCCCTGGGAGCCACCCCACCCTGCCCCTCCCAGGGGATGACAAGGGAGCGAGTTGGCGGCAGTTCCCTGGGCATATTTATAACCTGCTGCTCGCTCACCAGCGTCTGCTTTTAGACCAGACGGGGGAGGGGGCAGGGGGGTGGTCTGTCTCATGCTGGGCGCCCCGGCTGGGTGTGGAAAGAGTGAGTAAGGGTGAGTGGTGGGCAGCCCTGCATGGATATTCCTGCTCACACCACAGCCAAACAGCTTATTTTCTCCTCATTTTGTTATTTTTCTCCCTCTGCGCTGGAGAGGAGGACTGAGCCAGCCTGGGGCGAGGGGGGAGGCTTTGGGGGAGGCTGGACCCTAGGGTATTTGCAGCCCCACTGACAGGGTTTTTCCAGGGTGCGTGTGGCAGGGTGTGTGTGGCACTGGCTTGCTGACCCCCTGGGGACTGTACACAGCCTGCCTTTCTTCTCAGCTTTTCCACTCCCCCCAGGATATTTCAGGACTAGTCTTTCTCTCACTTGCTCAGGCCAACCTGTATCCAGGGTCCTGGCACCTGAAGATCAGAGGTGGTGGGAGGTGGCGCATCAGGCACAGTCCTGATGTCACCATCCTATGGCCACCACCCTGAGCCCACTGTGGCCCCTGAGACCTTTGTGAGTCTTCTTTCTAGGCACAACTATTCTTCTCCCCAGGATGTACCTGCTCCAGCCCTGTGTGAGGACAGCACAGATGATCACAATAACAAAATGATTAGCTTCTATATAGTGCTTTGCAGATCCCTCCGCCCTTTTACTTGTTTGTTTTTTGTGTGTGTATGTGTGTTTTATTAGTGCCCATTGAGGGCCCAGCCTCATTCTGCACTTCCCAACACCATCACCTTTGAAATTCCAGTCCTTGGAAGAGAAGGGCCTCCATGCTGAGGGCTTGAGTATGGGAGTCTGCCCTTAAACTTCATTTATGTGCAGAGGGCTTTACACTTCATTGAGCCTTCATTGCACTCCCTCTACTATACTAACCATATCTGTGGATGTGCTTGATCCCCTGGCCAGACTGTCAACCTCCTCCAAGCAGGCACTGTGGTTTATGAATCATTGTATTGCCAGCATTTGGCAGATGCCTGGTATAGAAGAGGTGTCAGCGAGTATTCAGATGACCCAGGCTTTCAGGTACATCATCTCATCTGAACCTCATCACCTCCCTGAAAGGTTAAGTAACAATAACCATTCCTGTTTGATAGGCAAGGCAACTGAGTCTGAGAAAGTACAAGATTTGTTGAAAGTCTGGGTAGGGGCAGAAAAGAATTCACCACTTTCCCTTGCTCTTCCTCCAGCTCCTGTTTGTCAACCTGGTTCAGAGTGCCCCAGCTTCCAACCCTGAAAGCTGATACTGACTCCAATTCTTGGAGTTTGAATTTAGGTGAGAGTAGTTGGAGACAGCTGCCAACACTTTACCTCTACCCTGCTGCTTCGCCCCAACTCTGGGCACTGTCCAGCAGGGGCCCAAGCCCCGCCTCCCACCTCTGGCAGCCTATTAACTTCTTATATGGGGAGTTGAGGGATATAATAGCTCTTTGGCTTATAGACTGGGCATTCTCTGCAGGGTGCTCTTTATGGAAACCCAAAGCTTTTCAGGTGCCTCTTCCTCAGGATCAAGAGGTTTTTATTTCTCCCCCTAGGGTGAGGAATCAGAGCTGAGATGGTGCTAGCTTGGCAGGTGGAAAGAAAGGGAAAGGGATGTCATTGCAGGATTGAGCAGTTCCTGGCTCCATTCCCTTACCCCTACACGTATCCCAAAGGCCCACAGCGGGTCACACATCCAGGGAAAGGTAGGAGGCACCAACAGCAGAAGAGGCCTGAATAGGACAGAAGGGAATAGGGGAGAAGGGGAAATTCTCAAGCTGACTGGGAGCAGTTGTTGCTCTTAGGGGATAAGTGGGGTGTTTCACGGCTCCCCTTGCCCTTCTGATCCTCCCCTGTGGGGAGGGGTTAGGATTAGGGACAGACATTAGAGCTTAGAAGGGGTTAGTGTTTGTCTGAAGTTAGGGTTAAGGCTAAGGTTCAACCTAGACCTAGGGACAGGAAGAGGATTAGAGTTAGAGATAGGTTTAGGGCCGTGGATAGGATTACAACTCCCTCTGACTCTGGCGAATGTGAACACAGAGGTATCACATTGGTGTTAGTAACAAAATCCTCATTCTGGCTCTTTATGGGAATGGCTAGCTTCGTGGTTTGGTTATGGACCACATTAGGGTTTACTTTGGTTACATTGGTTTAAGCCTAGCCTGCATTTGGATTCTAGCCTACCTGTTCCCTTCTCTCCCACCAGCATCTCTGAGCTTCTGGGTCTAGCACCGGGCTCATCACCTATTATCTGGATCCCCCTGAGCCCAAGATTGGGAGCGGGAGTCCTAATAAGGTATTATATATATACCTAATAGTCTATACACACACACACACACACACACACATATATGTGTATATATATATATATATTTTTTTTTTTTGTAGAGATGGGGTCTCCCTAAGTGGCCCACGCTGGTCTCAAACTCTGGGGCTGAATCAATCTACCCTCCTCGGTCTCCCAAAATGTTGGGATTACAGGCATGAGCCACTGCCCCAGGCTGGTATTTACTTTTCTGCTGGTGGAAGGGCTTCACCCTTGTCCAGTGCCCTGACCACAGCTGAAGAAGCCAAGCTTCAGGGACCAGTAGCTCTACATCAGGGGCAGCAGCACCCTTTCTCCTTTAGTTTCTCTTCCTACTTTTTGGAAGATGGTCACAGTTGTCATTCAATAGTAGCTATTTTCTCAACAGCTGTTCCAGGCAGGAAAAGCAGGCACTGTGGTTGTTTAACCCCCATTCACCGAGTACATGCACTTGTCCATATCACACAGCCAGTTGCTGTTCCACGAGGAAGAAGAACCCTGCAGGGTTGTTTGGCTACTGACCAGGTTCCTCTCTCAGGAGAGCTGGATTCCCAGTGGCCTCGTTAGGGTCATCCAAGGGTCAGAATCTCAGGGTCCTCTGGCAAGGTTAGGACACCAGTCCCCCAACAGCATATTCTATTTGTTTGAGAGAGGTAAGCTTCCAAGCCTGGGAGTGGTAAAAGGAGAGGACAGGGGACACCACAAACAAGGCTGTGTTCTGGATTCAAGGAAAAGCCACCAAGCCATCGATAAAAATAGAGATTTTATTCTGCAGAGGAAGATGCTACATTGGTGGGGGCGAGGAGCCACTAATAGCTACAATGGAAGGAAATACTGATTCCAGGAGGCAAACGCATCTTTGAGAAACTGAGGAGAGAAGAGGGACCATAAAAGGCTGCAGGGAGAAAAAAGAGAATAGTGGAGTGGGATAGGGTTGAGTTGGAGGTGTTCTTTGCAAACCAGGCTGGGACCCAGCACAATAAATAGTTTTATTTACAACATCCAAACTCGTGGCTCTGTATCCACGTTTCAGTGCAAATTATTTACACACTGATGAGGAGGCAGGACAGGAAGGGGTAGGAGGTGGCCCAGGGAGGCATGGCTCACAGCTGTTCAATGGCTCCACGACAGAGACTGGGAGAACGGGGGCATTTCTGCTGGTTCCCGCAACCTCATTTCCACATCATCACAGCTGCCCTTTTGCCCTGGAACCTCCTGCTTCAGCGGCAGGTGGGGAGGAGAAAGGTCCTGATGCCCAGGTGTGGGTTCAGGGTCTGCACCCGTGGCAGGAGAATAGGAAGGGGCCTCGGAGGACCCAGAGAAAACGCAGGACAAAGGGGAAGAAGAGAGGCAGAGAGGTCACTGCCGCGATGGAGCAGGCAGAGTGACACCGTCAGGAGCTGACCCCATGGCAGAGGGGACCCATCCTTCTCCCACCTCCTGGCCAAGCAGGGGGCAGTGCAACAAGGGGTCTCCCGCGGAGAGGGAGGGAGGTAGGTCCGGGGCAGGTCCATCAGGATGGCAAGAGGGTTCATGCCGCCCCAGGCAAGTGGTTTGAGGAGTCCCCAGGTAGGAGGAAGTGGGAGAGATGGGATACGTATGAACCGCGGGGAGTGTGACTGGAGGTACTCGGGTGGGCGAATAACCGGGTCTTGAGTGCCAGCGAGTCTGTTTGGGGGAGGGCTCGCGGAGAGCGTTCCCGGGGGCAAGTTCGCGCAGCGCCTCACAGACACTCGTGCAGTACGCGCGTGTGCGTGCAGTTGCGGCAGCTGACGTGGCAGCACCAGTGGAAGGTGCAGTTGCAGCGCTCGGTGACGCGCTGCGTGCGCGTGCGGTGGCCCCTGCCGCAGCAGAGCAGCTCGCAGCCGTCCAGCGCGGGCGACGAGCTGTTACAGGCGCGCCCTGCCGTGCCCGCTGTACCCAGGCGTCCGCTGTACGTGCAGAAGTTGGGCGATTTCTCGAAGTAGACGAGGTCGTGGGGGGAGGGCGGTTTGTGGGCCGGGTCTTCCGGCTCCAGGCGCAGCAGCTCCGCCCGCGAAGCGCGGTTGCTGCCGCGGTTGCCGTAGAGGACGCGCGAGGCGCCGTCGAAGCGGTCGCGCAGCACATCGCCCACTGCGCGCAGGGTGGGCAGCCGCATCCAGCACGTGCGCACCGTGCAGGATCCGGACATACCGTGGCACTTGCACTCCTGACGCATCTCGGAGAATACGGTCTGCGGGGAGAGGGGAAAAAAGAGTGTCCCAGGGCACCCGGCCAGAGTCACCCTCCCAGACACTGCCCCCTCCCGGACGCCACGGGGGCCGGACCTCAGCAAAGGCCCAGGCCTAGCTGAGCCCAGGGGAAGGGAGACGCGAAATGTTCCGCTGAGATTTGGAAACCCTGCCCAACCCTGCTCCGCCGCGGCGGGTCAGTCTCGTCCTCTCAGGCTTGTTTTTCAAATCTGTATAGTGAAGAGCTTGTGCTTGATTTGTAACCTCTTCTACCTGTCCGCGGGCCAGGCATCCCTTTGCCCTCAGCCACTGTCTCCTCTATTCTCCGGCTTCGTTCCAAGCCTCCAGCTCTCCCAGGACGCCCTCTCCTGGTGCCCCTTGCCTTATCTCACCGACCGTCTCTTCCCCAGCCCGAGGTTGGCCACTGCCGCTCCGCTTAGGGTGCGGAGCCTCTCAAAGCTCACCGTACGGCCAGCCTCGTTGTTGTGAAGGTTCATGAGGAAGCGCAGGTCCCGCCCCTTCTCCCCGGAGTCCACGAACTCCCGGCCGAAGAGGCGGCCGAAGTCAATGTTGTCGCTGCAGCCCCCCCAATGCCAGTCGGGGCCCCCGGGGCCGCGCCGCCGGTAGTCGCACGTGCAGGATTCGATGGAACCCTCTGAGCAGGAGCGCGCCACCGAATGGGTGACCCCGGCGGAGGTGATAGCGAAGATAAACGCCGTTTCTCGACAGCCTGTGGGAGAAGGGAGCAGGGGATCGGCGAGGGTGTACGCGGGGCGCGGCCAGCACCCTCAGTGAAGGGCTTGGGACCGGAATCCCACCCCCGACTCCGCACTTAGAGTCCTGAGAGCCAAGGCCGGCAGTGCTGGAAAGCCGGTCTCTAGGGCTAGTAGAGAAAGCAGGTGCGTGGGCACGCAGCCACGTCCACGGGCGTAATCACACCTTACTGGGAGGTTCCAGGGCGCATTTTGGCTCGATAGCGGAAGTGGAGCAGCCCCAGAGAGAAAAACCAAAGAGAGGGGAACAGAAGAACCATACATCCCCAAGACTTCTTCGCAGCCCAAAAGTTTCGGCCCATGTTGGAGATGCAAGTCTTGCTAGGCGAGAGGCAAGACACACGCCTGCAGAGAGCAGCTTCCCAGGCGCTTTTGAGAGAGGCTGGGGGAAAGCGGCGGTCAGCCGGCGTCCGCGACCTGAAACTTTATCTGGGGCAGTAGCTCAGAAAAGTTAAGCTTCGTTTCCAGGGTGCACGGCTGTTAGAAGTCTGGGCCCGAGCTGGCGCTGGGCACCAGGCACTTGGCGGGTTGATCGTGTGACCCTCCAGGCGCCTGGGACACCTTCTCTGAACTCGCCCGCCCATGCCCTGGGGGTGACCCCGCGTTTCCCCTGCTCCCGGAAGCGTCGCCTTCCTGGGCACCCACCTCGGTTGACGATCTTGCCGAAGAGGTGGGGCCCTGGAGCAGTGGGACAGTTCCAGCGGCGATTCCGGAACTGCCACTTGCACTCGCGCACGGCACTCTGCAGCCCCCCACTCACGCTGTGCAGGATCCCCGGATTTTGGCGTATCAGACGCCGCTGTTTACGGCTCAACAGCTGCAGACTGGGCTCGAGTACCAGTTGCAGACTCTTGGAGTCCGTCAGCAGGTTCGTGGAGGAGGCTACGTTCACAATACCCCTGGTGGGACGTATGATAGCTCAGGCTCAGGAAGGGGATCCGCACCCTAACCATAAAAACTGTGCCACCCGGTCCTCTTCCTGGGGGTATGTGGCTGGAGAGAGTGGCGGGAGATTAATAATACGCTAATAACCCCGCGCTCCCAGGCTCACTAATTTGAAAGAACTGGGTGTCCAGACTTGTGTGTCCCCAGTAGTCCCAGGGCTGCTCGCCTGAGCCGTAGGTCCGGAGACTGGACAGAAGAGGTACCCGGAGACCGAGTGTCTACCTCGGATCTCCGAGCCTCTTCCGGTCAGCCTGAGCGAGATAATCATGGCCTGCAGTTTTTGCCCACCCAAGGCGTGAAATGCTTAGGAGTCCCACCCTCTTCTCCCCTCCTTTCTAAGCGAACGCCTGGCCCTTCACTTCCCGAGGTGGGGAAACCTGTGGTGAGGCCACGACCGTGAGGCTGGAGTTGGCGCTCAAAGGGGAAGGGCGGTGCTAGATGAGAGTGGGCTCCCTGCCTGGGGTATCTTAGGCCTCCGCGGGCGGGCGGATCATTCGCCCCACTTCTACAGAGCTGGAGCCTGGGGCAGCACCATGCCAGATCGCCCTTCGGTGTCGCGGAGGAAAGTCAGAGCGGGGAGGGAGCCTGTCGGTAGACGGATCCCAGAGCGTGGGAGCTGGGTAGGGTTGGCCCCTGGCTCTGTGCCTCGGGACAAGTGGCGACCCCGCACCAGCTCACTTACCACCATCGGCCACTGCTGTTGGCAGCCAGGGCTGCGGGCAGAGCGGCCAGGGCCAGTAGCAGCGTAGCAGAAACCCAGCCAGGCAACAGCGCCCAGAGCCCCATGGCCTGCCTGGCTTTGCCCGCTCTGTGCTGCAGTTGCGGCGACTTTGGCTGTTGCCCGCGACGATGGGACGGGACGCGGCGGTGGCGGCAGTGGCGAGAGTTCGCAGTCTGGCTTTAACAACCCTGGGGGCGGGCGGCGGACAGCATGGCTCGCGGTCCCGGCTGGTGGGCTGAGGCGGCCACGGCGGGCGGCACCGCCTCTTATAGTTGCGGCGCTGGCTGAAGTGACGGGAGGAGGCTGCCCCGCCGGGCCGCACTGTGGCACCAGGGCGCACCGGTTAGGGGCGCAGACAATGGGCAGCGAGCGGGGCTGTGGTTCCCGCCCGTCTGAGCCGAGAGCTGGCGGGTTGGCCGTCGGGGCTCACCCCCGCCCCCTGCCCGGTGGCCCCCGCCTCCGGGCCTGCACTGGCCGCGGACCCCTCCCCTTGGGACACCCTCCCACGCGCGCTCGCCTCACTCAGCTGAGCGTCCGGAGCCCGTCGGGGACTAGCATCCGCCAGGGGGCGCGGCGAGAGTGTGCTGCGGGGAGAGCCCGCCAGGGGCCCAGCCCGCCTCGCCACCCGCGGTGGGGTTGTCCCCTCGACGTCACCCCGGGCCCCTCCGACGTCCCCTCTCTCCCCCGTCCTGACTGTCGGAAGGAAAGCTGTGGTTCTGGGCAGCGACTCCGGGGAGACGCTTAACCGCCCAGGAACCCCCGATGGCTGGACAGAGAAGGAAAAGGGGGAGACGGGGGCGTGAGGGCGGCTGTGGTCAGGGAAATCCCGGGGATGAGTTGTGGGGGTGAGCTGACCAAAAGGAGCCTAGCGGTGGAGAGAAACCTGAAGCAGCAGGCAGTTTGCTCATGTGGGCCAGAAGGAGCGGACAAGTGGCTGTGTGTGTGTGTGTATGTGAAGTGGGACAACATGAATATGGGTGGGAGTGAGAATGTGCTGTGTTCTGAGGGTGCATCCTCTTGTGTGTTGGTACGTGCAGAAACTCCTTGTTCTGGTGAAGGATGTGAGGAAACTTTCCAAAGAATTTTGGAATTTCACTCAAGTCAGAAAGGGTCATGGAGTCACCTTGTCACAGTCACCGCCTGGGGCAGTGTGTCAGGAAGGTGGTGGCGACGGTTGACAGGAGACTTAGAAGCATGATTGAGGGATGCAGAGTGTCTGGATTGTGTATGGAGTGGGTGGATGAGCGTGTGCATGGGATGATTAAATATGTGTGTATGTGTCATTCTGTTGCCCTTTGTACCTCGTGGCATCCTATGGTGTGTCACACTGTGGTATGTGTCAACCAGTGCATGTCATTGAGGGAGAGAGCTGAGCCTACAACCAAGATGATATTGAGGTGAACCGAGCCTGGAGTGGCTAAGTCTCTGAGGCCTACGCTCAGAAAGGATGGGAAGTGTTGTGGATGTCCAATGTATGCATGGTGATGGAGAGGACTGGGAAGACAAGGGTTATTGCTGGCTGCATTGAACCTAGATTAGGAAACTTGTGCCTCCATGTGTTTGCTTCTCTTTGGATTTTTCTGCCACGTTTCTGTCTTCCCCCAAAGCTCTGGTTCCCACCATACTGGGATACCCAGAGTGCCTGTGACCATCTCATCCATTGTACATTTTTCTGTTCTCTCCCAGGGACTCCTACTCAGCTTCAAGGCCACTTTGGCCTCCTATTGAAGAAGTGACAGGCTGGATGCTGTGGCTCATGCCTGTAATCCCAGCACTTTGGGAGGCCAAGGTCAGGAGATTGAGATCATCCTGGCCAACGTAGTGAAATCTCATCTCTAATAAAAATACAAAAATTAGCTGGGTGTGGTGGCGTGCACCTGTAGTCCCAGCTACTGGGGAGGCTGAGGCAGGAGAATGGCTTGAACCCGGGAGGAAGAGATTGCAGTGAGCCGAGATCACACCATTGCACTCCAGTCTGGGCTACAGAGCGACTCCGTCTCAAAAAAAAAAAAAAGAAGAAGAAGTGGCTGCTTTTCCCTATATGGTGAATAGGGGGCACTGCCAGCCTGGTTATCATGCCCCAGCACCACACACAGATGGCCCCTGGAAGGAGGGAAGATCTTTACATCTCTTCTCTCTCCTCATTTTGCAGAATTAAAAATAGATCAGGCAGTTGTTCAAGGTCCACATCTAATAAATGAATCAATGGTAGAGTCAGGTTAAAACCCAAACCAATTTGACTCAAAGCCCATGCTCTTTCGAACTTACCAGCTGCTTGCCAGTGTGCAGCAATTGCATGCTGGGAACCCTTCTCAAAATTGATAGGTTAAAATAATTTTTAGGGCCTTCCTGCCTCCCTTTTGAGTTCTAGCTCTCATTTTTTTTTCATCTCTCTTGTCTTTTAGGATGCCTTCTGACTGAAAAATTTCCCCAGGCCTGAACCTAGAGTCTTAAGTCCCAGAAATGACACGATTCTCTTCCAAGGCAGGGAAATCACTCTTAGGAATAAATGTCAGGTAAGTTTCATTAATATTCCTGGGCACTTGTGTTTTAAATGGGATGTATGTTAACCCAAATGAAGCCTGATGGAAGTTATTTTATAAAGAAATGTCCTTCTTTCCCTTTTTTCTTCCCCTTTGCCCAGCCTAGTATATCTGGCCCTTCCAAGGATCCACCCCTGAGGGAAAAGGTGTAGTGGTCCAGCATCCTCCATAGATCCAAAAGCCAGTAGTCTCTGCAGAGAGGACTCAGCATAGATGACTCAAGTAAATGGACAATGTCCCATGGGGAGCCTGTCCTTTATCCCTTATGAGTTTCTTCCCACTGGGGCCTGGGTTACAGCTTTTGGCCTGGTAGATTGATAAAACACCGTGAGGGTGGGAGGCTGGCTGGAAGATATGGAAGCCCTGTCTTTGACCACTGGTGTCAAGCAGAGGTGGGAAGAGAGGAAAGGAGCCATTGTGCTTTGTTCCAACATTCCACCCACCAGGAGTAGGGGAGAAGAGGGTAAGGCACCTAGATCTGGGTCACATTTGTTATGACCTGGCTCACATTTCTTTTTCTTTTCTTTTTTAAAATATGAAATGCTTCACAAATTTGCATGTCATCCTTGCGCAGGGGCCATGCTAATCTCTGTATCATTCCAATTTTAGTATATGTGCTGCCAAAACAAGCACCCAAATTTCTATTTATATCAAATAATCATGATATCAACTGTCCCCTCTTTCTTTCCTGCATCATCCACTTACCTCTCTCCTGGAACATACACATAAGCATGCAGACATGCTGCAATAGTACTCATCTGAAAAACCCAAAAACTTCATTAGACCCCACGTTACTGCCCAAGATTGCTCCATTTCAGTGCTCCATTTTACTGCAAAAATCAAAATGGTTGATTTAATTACTAGAGCCAATATCTTTTCTTTTCTTTTCTTTTCTTTTTTTTTTTTTTTTTTTTTTTTTTTTTGAGACGGAGTTTTGCTCTTGTTGCCCAGACTGGAGTGCAGTGGTACGATCTCAGCTTACTGCAACCTCCACTTTCTGGTTTCAAGCAATTCTCCTGCCTCAGCATACTGAGTAGCTGGGATTACAGGTGCCCACCAACACTCCCAGCTAATTTTTGTATTTTTAGTAGAGAGGGGGTTTCACCATGTTGGCCAGGCTAGTCTTGAACTACCGACCTCATGATCTGCCCACCTCAGCCTCCCAAAGTGCTGGGATTACAGGCATAAGCCACTGCGCCCAGCCCAAACCATCTTTCCTAAAACAGAAGTCTGATTAATTCATTTGTCTGCTCAAAATTTTCCAATGAGTCCCCATCTCACTCAAAGTAAAGGCCAAAATCTTTACAGGGACCTCCTTCCCAGCCCTCCAGCTGCATTGCCTACCACTCTCTTCCTTGTGAATTCCTCCTCACCAGCCCCGCTGGCCTCTTTTCTAATCCTTTGAACCAAGCATGCTCCTTTCTAAGGGTCTGTGCACCTGCTTTTCTGTCTTCTAAAATGCTCTTCCTCAGATCTCTCCATGCATTTGTTCCCTCAGTTTGTTTTCCCTCCCCCTTTATAAAATAGAATCCCACTACTAATCTCCTTTACTCTGCTTCATTTTTCTCTGTATCAATTTTGACCATGGATGACTTTAAAGGCTTGAAGTTGAAAATCAGTAGCAAACCACCCCCCTGGAATAGGGGTAGAGGTGAGATGTTAGAGGGGAGAGGGGCTTTGCCTTGGCTTTGGGATCTGGGAGGAGGCAGGGCACCAGGGTTGAGAGTTTGTGGGCAGAGGAGCCTACCCTCCTTTGAAGCACCCGCAGGCAGCACTGCCCCGTTGGACTAGGAAGCCATAGCCCATCCATTAGGCCTGAGTAGAGAAGGGGGCAAAAATTCTGTCTAAGGTAATCCCATGGATTTGTTGGGGTCGACTGCTGAAAGTGGGGCCTTCCTCAGAGTCCAGTCGGCCCGCAGACCCTTTGGTGCCTCCAGGTGGTGGCCTACGGTGCTGCAGCAGAAGGCGCATTAGGCAGAGGGTGGGCAGCGCAGCTGAGCTCACCGCCACGGGCGCATCCATCCCTCCTGGGCCTATAATTTGGGTTCCCCAGGCCTGGCCGCCCCTATCAGCGGCTCAGCAACAGATGAGTCACCCGGGACCCCGGGCCAAGGCAAACATGGGGGGAGGAGGAGGAGGAGGCTTCCGAGGCTTTAGCCACCGCCTCAGTTGCTCGACATCCCCCAATCTCCAGGGGCCCCCACTCTTTTCTTTGACCCCCGCCCTCCAGGGCCCCAGTGTTCTTCCCACATTGCTCTTGTTACACCCTCCATCCCTAGGATAGGAAGGGCAGCCCTCCACTCTTCTCATCGAGGGGAAGGGGAACCAGCTTGCTCCTAGATCCTCCCTGCAGTGATGAAAGCCCCCCACTTTCCCCCTCCTGTCATTGGCCCCGACCCACGTCAAGGTCTCTCTGGTTCCCGTCCCTCCCCTTTCTTGGAGCTGGCCGCGTGCTTGGGGTATTAGGCAATGGGTGTGCACCCGCAACCCTCTCCAGGCCCCGCCTGTCCCACCGCCCTCTAGCCGCCTGCGGGTCAGTACTCAGGCCAGCCGGTCGGGCTGAGGGCACTGCGGGCCAGCTCAGGCCACCCAGTCTGCCGGCCTGTGGCCTCTTGTCCCAGAGTTGGGCTTCAGTAGAGAGAAGGAGCAGGACTCTGGGTCCATGGATTTGGAACAGTCCTGCTTGGGGAGACCTAGGGTCACCAGGAAGTTGAAACCTATTGTAGTAGTTCTGTCCCTTGCCCCTTTTTGGCACCTGACTGTATGCTGGAGCTTGACAAGGGTAGAATCAGAAGGCAAAAAAAGTAATCCCAAACCTAAGGGGGACCCAGGAGACACATGGAGAAATACAAATGTCCATGAGGTCCCCATGGAGAAGAAAGGCTTAGGCAACCTCATTCCCCTCTTCCAAGGACCTGGCAGGAATCCCAGGCTGACTGCAAGAAAAAGAATAAGGACACTGGAGGGGATCACAAATCCAGGTGTAAGGATGAAAACTCTAAGATGGGACTTGCAGATTCTGGTGACCTCCAAAACCACACATGGTTTGGCTCTTGTCCTCTAAATGGGAAGGAGGGTCAGGAACTCTAGGGCTCCCTTTTCCCCACCCCAGAGGTAGGAAATCAGAGAAAAGCAGCCTGGTCCAGGCTGTCCAGTGTCAGAGACCGTGGCACTTTCACCTCCCCAGACTGCTCATCAACCTGGCACATAAAGGTGATCTGTAAATATCCCAACAGATGTAAGTTCGCTTGATCTCCTGTCTCAGACTGCTGTGCCCGCTATCCAACAGTGACCCCTGCAGCACGGGCAGGACCTCCAGCAGCACAGACTGGAGGCTGGCTGCCCAGCAGAGCTGCAATGCCACCACCAAGAAAGAGGTGACTGTGGTTGTGGGTATCATCCCTGTGCCTCTGCTTGCTGGGGGCAGTCTGAGTCAATGTGCTTGGGGCGCGTGGGGCCAGCCGTGCCTTGGGCTGCGGTCTGGCGGGGCGGGGGGCAGCTGGAAAGCCTGGGGCCCCTCTCTGGCAAAAATAGCCCGCAGTGGTTAGAGCTTCGAGGGTGAGTCAGGCGGGAGCACGGTAGCGCCTAACCCCTTCGCTGCCACTGGATCTTCCTAAGGCGGTTTGCCTTTGCTTATGCACCCCAAGACCAGGCTCTTTCCCGGCTGCCCTTAGGCTTGGCTCAATTTTGGATCCCAAGGCCCTCCTCATCCCACAAGAAGCAAGTCTACAGCTTGGAGCAGGAATCCAGGCCACCCAATGTGCAGACTGGGGGAATCCCGAGAAGGGTAGGATACCTCTGTTGGCAAGCATCCCTGCCAGGCAAGGAAGCATCGCAGCAGGCTGATGATCTTTGGTGCTACCTGAACCTCTGCTAGGGCCAAACTCTGAGGCCAAAGCTGACCCCTCCAAAGGGGCAGGCGCAGGGCTTGGAGGTGGGTGGGAACCAAGCTGCCCAGACCTGTGCTTCTCCTGCCCACTCTGAGTACCCTAGGTGCGCTCAGGCTGTGGGTGCCACATGTGACTGTCCCACACCGAGAAGCCCAAAGACTGTCCGGCTCCATCCTCATCTTGTCAAAGGCACTTTCCAGCCACCCTGATCTTGGTGGAGAAACTGACTCAAAGAGAAGTGATTAAAGATGTGGCCACTTTGGTCCCGTTCTGGCTGCCTAGGAAGGTTACTACACCCTCCCTGCAGCCTTGGCGACCCCAGAGCAGGTGAGAGGAACTCTAGCCACCTCCTTCTTCAGTGGGGCCAAGCCTGAACCCAGGCGTCGGGGGAGAGGGTGTGTGAATGTGTGTGTGTGTGTGTGTGTGTGTGTGTGTGCGCGCGCGCGCGCGCGCGCGCTGGGAGGAGGGGGAGCGGCTGCATTTGCCTGGTCAAGGCTGGGAGTGGAGAGTAGGGTGGGGAAGCCCCAGGCTTGGGGAGGGGCCGCAGCTCTGTCAGCCCGGCAGAGCCACCGTGAGCTCCGCGCCAGCAAAGCCAGAGCCCTCAGTCCTTTGCTCGGAGGCTTGCTAGCTCTCTGGATCACTCCCTCCCTTCCTCCCTCCCTTCCTCCCCGCGGCCGTGGCGGCGCTGGGGAAGCGGTGAAGAGGAGTGGCCCAGCCCTGGAAGAATGCGGCTCTGACAAGGGGACAGAACCCAACGCAGTCTCCCCACGGTTTAAGCAGCACTAGTGAAGCCCAGGCAACTCAACCGTGCCCGTCCTGGACCCCGCACCCAAACCACTGGAGGTAATTAGACCTGGGAAAGCAGGGAGGGCAGGGACGTGCACACAGGGAAGAGACAGGCACGTGTGTAGTCAGACAGACAGACACGCATCCACCCACCGAAGCACAGAGACACATAGAAAGCCAGAGATATTGCTAGCAATAAAGACAGAGAGAATAAAGGAGTGCCCCCAGATTTAGAAAGCAATGAATGTGAGAGCCAAGGGGTGAGGACCAGACGGGTGCCTATGGAGGAGGGGAGCTTGTAGTTAGGCAAGGTGGGGGATAGGGAAGAGGATTCAGTCTGCGCCACAGTCCCTTTTAGGAGAGAGCCAGGCTCGCCTCCCCATCTTTCCTGCACCTGGAGCCTCTCCTCTTTCCTTGCTGCTCAGGGAGGAGGCAGTGTGGGTGGGGAACTCATTCTTGGACCTTTCTCATGGAGCCTGCTTGCCCTTGATGACACCTGGAGGTGACACCCCCTTAGGTGGTGGGGAACCTCCTCCCTATCCCTCTCTCTAGCCCTGTGAGGGCGGGGAAGCTAGTCGTGGGGCCCTGGAAAAGGGAGCAGTAGACGAGGTTGTGGAGTAAGTGTTTGTGAGTCTGTGTGTCTGAGTTTGTATGTGAGTGTGTGTCTGTGTGCTGGGCGTTGTGTCTGATTGGGCAGCGTTCCAGGGGTGCTCACTTGAGTCCTGAGCTGGGACAACTCCTGGACTCTTCTTCTTTAAGACCTCCAAGCCTCAGGGACTCTGGGAATCAAGGGGTGATTCTTCTTGTTTGAGGAGGAATGAGAAGGGTCAGTAGGGTGGCACCGGTGGTTTAGGAGCCCGAAGGAGAGCATCACTTGGTTCCCCAGGCGAGCCGCCCTATTCCTGAACCCGCATCAAGTCTTCCCGTCCCGCAGGTCCTGATCGATCTGCCCACCGGAGCCTCCGGGCTTCGACATGCTGGAGGAGCCCCGGCCGCGGCCTCCGCCCTCGGGCCTCGCGGGTCTCCTGTTCCTGGCGTTGTGCAGTCGGTGAGCAGTTCGCCTTGTCTCCCAGGCCCCAGAAGCACCGACCAGGGGTGGGGAGAGTTGGAGGGGTCTGGACCGCAGACACCAGAAGCCTTCTTGGTTCCCAGGGCTCTAAGCAATGAGATTCTGGGCCTGAAGTTGCCTGGCGAGCCGCCGCTGACGGCCAACACCGTGTGCTTGACGCTGTCCGGCCTGAGCAAGCGGCAGCTAGGCCTGTGCCTGCGCAACCCCGACGTGACGGCGTCGGCGCTTCAGGGTCTGCACATCGCGGTCCACGAGTGTCAGCACCAGCTGCGCGACCAGCGCTGGAACTGCTCAGCGCTCGAGGGCGGTGGCCGCCTGCCGCACCACAGCGCCATCCTCAAGCGCGGTGAGCCTGGCTGGGCGGGTAGGCGCTGCCGCCGAGGCTAGAGGGTGGGGGGCGGACCGAGGCGCGCGGAGGCGGGAAGGAACGGGTTCGCTGCTTCGGGAGGGGCCTCTCCTGGAATTCCCCCCTCCCCCCTCAGACCCGCTCTGAGTCAGGTCTGGCCACTCGTCTGGGGCCCTGTGCGCCTAACTTCCACCTGCGTGCTGCCGGCGAGGCAGCTGGGTCCCTGCTCTCCTACCCTAGGGCCCCCCTTTCCTGCCTCCGCCCAGCTTAATCTGGGTTGCACCTGTGAGCAAGAGATGCCCCCAGTCCTGGAAGCTTCAAACGGCCCCCTATTCCCTCCCCCATTTTCTCTCCCCCATCTTGGCTGGACAAGCCCAGGCTGGTGTCCCCAGTGTCTCAGCGGGGGTGGAGTGACGCCCCCAACCGTTTAAGGGTTAAATCTGCTCCCCTAATTGCTGGGGTTCCCAGGAGCCAAAGCTGGGAACAAAGACCCTGATGACTTTGAAGCTGGGGAGCCAGTCCCCTCCTTTGTGCTGTGGGGGCTCCAGGTGTTGCTCACCTGAGCAGGTGAAGAACGGCTGGAGAGGCAGAGAACAGGTCACTGCTGGCCTGGTCTGGGAGGCATGGCTGCCTCTCCCCATTCCCTGCTGGAGTTCACTCCCTGAGGTGTAAAGACCCATGGGGGCTCAGCCCAGAGATGGGGGCAGTGCTCTGGGGACTATGGGGTTAATAGGCAGCTGCCATCTGCAGGGGAATTCCCAAGACTTGTGCAAACAGCTTCACCCCTGGAGGGTTGGAGTTCGGGGATCAGAAGGCTGGCCCAGGAGCCCTGGATCCTGGGGTAGGAGAGGCCTGGTCTCTAAGAGGGTGCTGTCTCTCATCTTCTCAGGGCTCCGGAGAGCCCCTGCCTAAAATGAAGTGAGGGTCCCCCTCCTTCCCCACAGGGCCTGGTGTAGGGCAAGGCTTGGACACCTAAATGGTAAGCATGTTTATTTAAGTCTGGGAAAGGCTTGGCATCCTGAGCTTCTGTGACCCCCAAAACATAACAAAGAAGCCAACCTTTTAAGAGGGCCTTAGGGAAAATCACTCCCCCACCTCTCTCCTCCTCTCAGTGTTTTATAGGGTAATAGCAGGTTAGGATAAACATTAAAAGGGCAGTCTTGAAGGGCAAATATAAAACTACATCCTGGGAAGCGGAAGGGCAGCTCCATAGCTCCAGTGCTTTGGGGGTGCTAGGGTGGTGGAAGGTAGGTTGGTTAAAAGACTGACTAACCCTGAAGTGAAGAAAAAAAAAAAAACCAGAACCACAAAGGCTCTGCTGCCAACTCACCCAAGCTCCCTGCAGGGTTGGGGGAATTTCTAAGGCTTTCAGATGTAGAACTCGGTTGTACACATCTTCAAAGACCTCAGGGACTCCCTCTTAGTCATCTCCCAACTCCAGGGGTCTCTCCCTCTGGGCTAGCTCTTTCATCTACACCTGAAAATCACCGACTTACAGAATGAGAATGGGCCTCAGAGATCATCTTGACCCATCGTCTCCCACCTCCCTTTAGAAATGAAGAAGCTGAGGCTCTGTGCTTTCTGTACCCTTCCTTGTCCCATGACCTTCCTCCAAATCACTCAGCTGGTAAATGGCAGGGTCAGGATTCAGTTAGGAATTTCTGGAGTTGGAGGGGGGCTGTTTATTTCTTTCTGCCTCCACACTCTCATCTGCCTGTCAACCTTACCTCCACCATCACAACCTTCTCATCCCCAGGTTTCCGAGAAAGTGCTTTTTCCTTCTCCATGCTGGCTGCTGGGGTCATGCACGCAGTAGCCACTGCCTGCAGCCTGGGCAAGCTGGTGAGCTGTGGCTGTGGCTGGAAGGGCAGTGGTGAGCAGGATCGGCTGAGGGCCAAACTGCTGCAGCTGCAGGCACTGTCCCGAGGCAAGAGTTTCCCCCACTCTCTGCCCAGCCCTGGCCCTGGCTCAGGCTCCAGCCCTGGCCCCCAGGACACATGGGAATGGGGTGGCTGTAACCATGACATGGACTTTGGAGAGAAGTTCTCTCGGGATTTCTTGGATTCCAGGGAAGCTCCCCGGGACATCCAGGCACGAATGCGAATCCACAACAACAGGGTAGGGCGCCAGGTATGTGTGTACATCTTGTCCTGGGTCTCCCCAGCTTTTGAGGCCTGGTTAGAGTTTGAGAGGCACAGGGGAATAATAGGATAAAGTGTGATGAGTGACTGACACCATCAGCAAGTCACCCAGCCTCAGTTTTATATCTGTAAAGAACCTAATGATACTTACCTTACAGTGTTATTAAGACTGAGCTAGCAGGCCAGTGTGGTGGCTCACGCCTATAATTTCAGCACTTTTGGAGGCTGAGGGGGGAGGATTGCTTGAGGCCAGGAGTTCAAGAACAGCCTGAGCAATGTAGTTAGACCCTATCTCTATATTTTAAAAAATTATATATAAAAACAGACTGGGCCGGGCGCGGTGGCTCATGCCTGTAATCCCAGCACTTTGGGAGGCTGAGGCGGGCAGATCACCTGAGGTCAAGAGTTCGAGACCACCCTGGCCAAGGTGGAGAAACCCAATCTCTAATAAAGTACAAAAATTAGGCGGGGTGCGGTGGCTCACGCCTGTAATCCCAGCACTTTGGGAGGCTGAGGCGGGCAGATCACGAGATCAGGAGATCGAGACCATCCTGGCTAACACGGGAAACCTCGTCTCTATTAAAAATACAAAAAATTAGCCGGGCATGGTGGCATGTGCCTGTAGTCCCAGCTACTGGGGAGACTGAAGCAGGAGAATCGCTTGAACCCGGGAGGCGGAGGTTGCAGTGAGCCTAGCTTGTGCCACTGCACTCCAGCCTGGGCGACAGAGCGAGACTCCATCTCAAAAAAAAAAAAAAGGGCCAAAAATTAGCCAGGCATGGTGGCCGGCACCTGTAATCCCAGCTACTCAGGAGGCTGAGGCAGGACAATCGCTTGAACCTGGGAGGCGGAGGTTGCAGTGAGCCGAGATGGCTGCACTTCAGCCTGGGCGACGAGAGCAAGGCTCCATCTCAAAAAACAAAAACAAACAAACAAAAAAACAGACTGATCTAGCAAATGGTATACCCAGCATAGTGCCTCATCCTTGGCTCACTACATAGTAGCTATTATTACAGCTGCCTTCCCTACAGAATTTAGGCGTGCTGTGGGCCAGACTCCCAATTTTATAAGTGCTTACAATGGAAAGAGCACTGGATTGGGTGTCAGGACAACTAGAGTTGAGTCTTGGCTCTATTACCAGCTGTTGATGGAAGACGGACAAATCACACCACTCTAGCCTCAATTCTGTCATCATAAAATGAGGGAGTTGGCTATTAGTTAACTGCAATGTCCTTTCTATTCTGATATGCCACATTATTCTTGCCTCCATTTGTCCCTCTCTGTGTTCTCTGTTCCCTTCCCTCTGCTGTGCCTCTGTGTTCTGTCCATTTGCTGCCCTCCGCTTCACCTCTTCTCTCCCTGATGCTCTAGGTGGTAACTGAAAACCTGAAGCGGAAATGCAAGTGTCATGGCACGTCAGGCAGCTGCCAGTTCAAGACATGCTGGAGGGCGGCCCCAGAGTTCCGGGCAGTGGGGGCGGCGTTGAGGGAGCGGCTGGGCCGGGCCATCTTCATCGATACCCACAACCGCAATTCTGGAGCCTTCCAGCCCCGTCTGCGTCCCCGTCGCCTCTCAGGAGAGCTGGTCTACTTTGAGAAGTCTCCTGACTTCTGTGAGCGAGACCCCACTATGGGCTCCCCAGGGACAAGGGGCCGGGCCTGCAACAAGACCAGCCACCTGTTGGATGGCTGTGGCAGCCTGTGCTGTGGCCGTGGGCACAACGTGCTCCGGCAGACACGAGTTGAGCGCTGCCATTGCCGCTTCCACTGGTGCTGCTATGTGCTGTGTGATGAGTGCAAGGTTACACAGTGGGTGAATGTGTGTAAGTGAGGGTCAGCCTCACCTTGCGGCTGGGGAAGAGGACTGTGTGAGAGGGGCACCTTTTCAGCCCTTTGCCCTGATTTCCTTCCAAGGTCAATCTTGGTCCCTGGAAGCTTAAAGTATCTACCTGGAAACAGCTTTAGGGGTGGTGGGGGTCAGGTGGACTCTGGGATGTGTAGCCTTCTCCCCAACAATTGGAGGGTCTTGAGGGGAAGCTGCCACCCTTCTTCTGCTCCTTAGACACCTGAATGGTCTAAGATGAAATGCACTGTATTGCTCCTCCCACTTCTCAACTCCAGAGCCCCTTTAACCCTGATTCATACTCCTTTTGGCTGGGGACTCCCTATAGTTTCACCACTCCTCTCACTTGGATAACCCCAGGCACTATTTGGAGCCATATGATCTGTATCTAGAAAGAGATCACCCATTCATGTGTACTATCCCCAAACTCCTCTACTGCAGCCTGGGCTCCCTCTTGTGGGATAATGGGAGACAGTGGTAGAGAGGTTTTTCCTGGGAAGGGGACAGAGTGCTGAGGGGCACTCTCCCCTGAATCCTCAGAGTTGTCTGTCCAGGCCCTTAGGGAAGTTGTCTCCTTCCATTCAGATGTTAATGGGGACCCTCCAAAGGAAGGGGTTTTCCCATGACTCTTGGAGCCTCTTTTTCCTTCTTCAGCAGGAAGGGTGGGAATGGATAATTTATTGTACTGAGACTTGTTCTTGGTTCCTGTTTGAAACGAAAATAAATTAAGTTACCGGACTGGATGCAGATGGTGATGTATGTACCCACACTTGGGATCCCAGTCCATAGCTTCTTTTCTAGGTTAATTCTCCTACCTTCCTACACTCAATGACTTCATGTATATCCTGCTGAGTTCCGCAAAGGATTTGACATGAATCTCAGTGACTTTGTTGGCAACTTTTCCTTTGTAAAACCAGGAAGGACTCCTAGGTGGGAAGGGCTACAGTTCCAGATGTAGGCCCTATTGACTCTCTATGTGCCTCAGCTCCAGATTTCACCTTGATCACTGCCTTAGAACAAGGGCTGGCAATTTTTTTGTTTTTTACTGTAAAGGGTTAGATAGTAAATAGATTACACTTGTGATCTTTGTCCCAACTATTCAACTCTGCCACAATTACTCAACTCTGCTGTTATAGATCAACAGCAGCCATAGACCACACATAAATGAATGAGCATGGCCGTGTCCCAAAAACTTCATTCACAGAAAGGGGCTGCAAGACCAAATTTGGTCCCCTAGCTGCAGTTCGTTGACCCTTGTTCTATACCACGAGGTTGCCTTCGTTCTGGAGTTTTTCAGTCCTAAATGTATCTCGACACTGAACTTTGACCTAAAAGAACAGGTACCTTTTTCTCTGGTTCCAAAGGAGTGAACTTGAGATATAGATGCAAGACTGATGGGAAACGTATAAAACGTTGACTTTGTTCTGGAGTTTTTCAGTCCTAAATGTATCTCAACACTGAACTTGGACCCAAAAGAACAGGTACTTTTTTCTCTGGTTCCAAAGGAGTGAACTTGGGATATAGATGCAAGACTGATGGGAAACGTATAAAAGAGATTTATATGCTTGAAATCAGAGTTTTTCCCTCTGGAAAGTAGCAAAACCAGCCATGTTCTCTCATGGAATTATCTGCATTTTTTTTTTTTGTCCTTATTTATTTGATTTAGACAGGGTCTCACTTTGTTATCCAGGATGGAGTGCAATGGTGCGATCTTGGCTCACTGCAACCTCCTCCTCCTGGGTTCAAGCGATCCTTGTGCCTCAGTCTCCCGAGTAGCTGGGATTACAGGTATGCATTACCATACCTGGCTAAGTTTTGTATTTTTAGTAGAGATGGGTTTTCGCCATGTTGGTTGGCCAGGCTGGTCTCGAACTCCTTGCCTCAAGTGATCCACACGCCTTCGCCTCCCAAAGTGCTGGGATTACAGGCATGAACCACTGTGCCCGGCCTATTTATTATTATTTTTTTGAGACAGGATCTTGCTCTGTTGCCTTGGCTGGAGTGCAGTAATGTGATCTTGGCTCACTGAAAACTCCACTTCTTGGGCTCAAGCAATCCTTCCACCTCAGCCTCCCAAGTATCTGGGACTACAGACACACGCCACCATGCCTGGCTAATTTTTTTTGTATGTGTGTATTTTTTTGTAGGATAGGGTTTCACCATGTTGCCCAGGCTGGTCTTGAACTCCTGACCTTAAGCGATCTGCCCATCTCAGCCTCCCATAACCTTCCTCATTTAGAGCTCTTTTGTATTTCATCTTAGTAAAATAATTCCTTTATCTTTTAAGAGATAACCTCAACTAAACAGAAAAGGATTATTTATTTATTTATTTATTTATTTTTTTTTTTTGAGATGGAGTCTAGCTCTGTCGTCCAGGCTGGAGTGCAGTGGCGCAATCTCGGCTCACTGCAAGCTCCGCCTCCCGGGTTCACGCCATTCTCCTGCCTCAGCCTCCCAAGTAGCTGGGACTACAGGCGCCTGCCACCGCGCCCGGCTAATTTTTTCTATTTTTTGTAGAGACGGGGTTTCACCATGGTCTCGATCTCCTGACCTTGTGATCCGCCCGCCTCAGCCTCCCAAAGTGCTGGGATTACAGGCGTGAGCCACCGCGCCCGGCCTATTTATTTATTTTTGAGATGGAGTTTCACTCTTGTTGCCCAGGCTGGAGTGCAATGATGCAATCTTGGCTCACTGCAACTTCCACCTGTCTGGTTCAAGCGATTCTCCTGCCTCAGCCTCCCAAGTAGCTGGGACTACAGATGCATGCCACCACACCTGGCTAATTTTTCTATTTTTAGTAGAGATTGTGTTTCACCATGTTGGCCAGGCTGGTCTCAAACTCCTGACCTCAGGTGATCTGCCCGCCTCAGTCTCCCAAAGTTCTAAGATTACAGGCATGAGCCACTGTGCCTGGCCCTAGCCCAACATCTTTGAAAACAAACTGTTATCGGGCCGGGCACAGTGGCTCACGCCTGTAATCCCAGCACTTTGGGAGGCCGAGGCAGGTGGATCATGAGGTCAGGAGATCAAGACCATCCTGGCTAACACGGTGAAACCCTGTCTCTACTAAAAATACACAAAAAAAATTAGCTGGACGTGGTGGCGGGCGCCTGTGGTCCCAGCTACTCGGGAGGCTGAGGCAGGAGAATGGTATGAACCCAGGAGGCGGAGCTTGCAGTGAGCCAAGGTCGCGCCACTGCACTCCAGCCTGGGTGACAGAGTGAGATTCCGTCTCAAAAAATAAATAAATAAATAAATAAATAAATAAACTGTTATCTTTCTTTCTTTCTTTTTTTTCAGATGGTGTCTTGCTCTGTCTTCCAGGCTGAGTGTAATAGCTCAATCTCGGCTCACTGCAACTTCTGCCTCCCAGGTTCAAGCGATTCTCAGCCTCCTGAGTAGCTGGGATTACAGGGGCTGGCCACCACACCGAGCTAATTTTTGTATTGTTTAGTAGAGACAGGGTTTTGCCATGTTGGCCAGGCTGGTCTCAAACTCCTGACCTCAGATGATCCATCCGCCTTGGCCTCCCAAAGTGCTGGGATTACAGGCGTCAACCACCAAGCCTGGCCTCAACTGTTATCTTTCTAAGATTCAGTGCAGAAAAGGAATATGCATCACACATTTAGAACTTCACAAATGACTGCACACTTTATGCGGCTGCCAGATACTGACTCTAACAGGTTGTTTCTTTGGCCAGAGAATGTAGAAATAGTTCTCTCAACTTCTCTAGACAACAGACACTTCTGCTATCCAAATTACCCTCAAAATCAGATGAAATGAGAGTAGCACCAAGGTAGTGAGGACATTGAGGAGTATTAGGTTAGGGCAGTACTTTTTTTTTTTTTTTTTTTTGAGACAGGGTCTTAGGGTCTCTCTCTGTCACCCAGGCTGGAGTGCAGTAGCATGATCTTGGCTTACTGCAACCTCCACCTCCTGGGCTCAACCAATCCTCTTGCCTCAACCTTCTGAGTAGCTGGGAATACAGGCGTGCACCACCAGGCCCAGATAATGTTTGTATTTTTAGTAGAGATGGGGTTTCGCTATGTCGTCCAGGCTGGTCTTGAACTCCTGGACTCAAGCTATCAGCCCTCCTCTGCCTCCTAAAGTGCTGGGATTACAGGTGTGAGCCACTGTACCTGGCCGACAGTTTTGTTTGTTTTTTGTCTTGTTTTTAAGAAATAAGAGTCTTGCTATGTTGCCCAGGCTGGTCTCAAGCTCTTGGACCCAAGCAATCCTCTTGCCTTGGTCTCCCAAAGTATTGGGATTACAGGTGTGAGCCAATGTGTTCAGCCAGTACTTCTTTTTAAATTTAGAGTCAGTGTCTTGCTCTGTTACTCAGACTGGAATGCAGTGGCAAGATCACTGCAGCCCTGAACTCCTTGACTCAAGTGATCTTCCAGCCTCAGCCTCTCAGAGTGTTGGGATTTACAGGCTTCAGTCACCACACTGGGCTCTAGGGCAGAACTTTATGGCCAAATTTTATGTCCTGGATTTCCACTTGAGCATTGAGAATTCTGGGTTTGGAAATTTGATGGAGACAGAAGAAAGCCCATCCTTACTTCAGGCACTTACTGAACCTAGTGTGTGTGGAAGGAAGAGGGAATGCACTTAGAATGGGCATAGGATATAAGAGAATAATGATAAAGAATATTTATAATCAGAATTTCTCACACTCAGGACGAGAAAGGAGAATCTCTAACAGAGTCACAGCATGATTATTTCAGCTTTTTCCTGTTTCCTTCCTTTGTACTTTGGGTCCTTCTTTCCTTTCTAGCATTCCCTCTTCTTTCATCAGATACACACTGTGGCAGACTTAAGCCCCAAACCACAGCCTTGACAAATTCCAAATGGATTTTGTCAGCAAGGCCAACACACTCCGTCGCCACTTCCTAGCCCTGCTCCTAGCACATGCGCTGGGCTCAGACTCAGGCCTGGGGTCAGTGACAGGGTTGGAGTATGCAACCCACAGAATTGGTGGCTACAATTTCAGCTTTTACTAAGCTCCAGTGGCAGCCAGAGGGAGGGAGAAAGGTTGATGAACTGTAAGGCGGGCCTCTTGTCCCTCTTCAGCTCTAGATGAGTTCTACTCCTGCTGGCCTTTACCAAGTGGTTGGGAAGTTGCGGGGGGCAGTGGCCAGCTAATTGCCAGCTGGGCAGCACTCCTCCTATCTCTGCTCCTGTTTGCTCCATGGGCAGCCCACTCTGATGCTGCAACAGACACTTTCTTCAGACTCCAGACAGGTGAAGGACAGAAGTGCTGGGAGATTCTCTAGTTCCATTAATCAGTCCTGACTAACATCATGGTACCTGCTGCTTACTACATTAGACTGTCACCATTTCCATCCTTCTGTTGCACTGGGGATACAACCTTGAGAAGATCTGAAGCACTGGGCAGGAATATCAACAGGTTCCACCTCCTTGTCTGAGTTCCACAAGGCATGTGCATGTGGTAAGGGCACTAGGGAGGTTTTATAAAGCATAGTGTTGGTGGACAGTGTGGTGGGATAACCTGGTGGAGTGTTACTAGAAATTTCTAGAGAAAGAAATGCAAGAGTAATCACATGGAAATATCAAAAAACCCACTCTAGGAGTAATAATACTGGAGGAAGATCCTTTTGTAGTTCATAAGCATAATGACTGGGTGTTCACACACATGTGAGATGTGCCACCCTCAAACCTTGTTACATTGGCACACTATCCATTTGACATAAACAACAACAACAAAATACTGGAGG